GCATACTATGCATCAAAATGTAGGTCTGGGTCTTGTGATTCTCACAATATAAAGCTCTTCAGTATAGGATGTATAATTTTTAAACTACAACTGTTTGTTTGAAGATGGCAACCGCCAGTGAAGTGAGCAAGTTGGAGCAGTTTGTTTTTAACCGCTCTTCTCTGCCCTTGCTGTAGAGAGAGTTGCCATAGGAACCCAGGTGTGTGAGCAGGCAGCAGAGTGACAAGCCACTCCACCCAGTTACTTCGCCCACTCCAGTTGTAGACTACTGGTGGAGGCAAGAACACTTCACACAATTTCCACATAAATTGTAGCTTTTCTAGTTATTATTATTATTATACAGGATTTATGGCGCCAACAGTTTGCTCAGCGCTGTACAATATAAAGGGAGACAACACAGCAACAATACAAAAGGGATAGGAGGGCCCTGATCCTTGGAGCTTACAATCTAACAGAGTCGGAGTCGCACCGATTAGACCAGTTCCATTGCCAATCATTGCATGTGATTTGTCATGTGATTTGAAGGGTCAAATCACATGAAAAATTCGCATCAGTGTGAACCAGGGCTTATGATGCTTTCTGAGATCTATTTAAACCCAGCCCTCTCATGACTGTGATTGGCATGGTGGTGTTTTCAATCAGAATGATTTTGATTGATCAGAGTATTGATTGACTGCAGCACATTTTCTACTTTTATTCAAATGAAAACACACGCCTTACCCGTATCTTCACTTTCTGATTACAAATTTTCTGTTCTATTTCCACATTTCTATGCATTTCCGTTATAGTTCCTTTCACAGCCAATGGGAGAGTCATCCAATATTTTGGTGGGATAATCGATCAATAATCAAATCAATGCAAACCAAATAAGGCACATATATAACAGCTGAAATTTCAATTGGAATGTATGAAATGATTAGATCAATGAGAATATATGAAATGTTAGATAATACTGTTTATGAAATGATTAGACCACAATAGGGAATGTATGAAATGATTAGATCAATATAGGGAATATATGAAATGATTAGAGCAATATAGGGAATGTATGAAATGATTAGATCAATATAGGGAATGTATGAAATGATTAGATCAATATAGGGAATGTATGAAATGATTAGATCAATATAGGGAATATATGAAATGATTAGAGCAATATACTGAATATATGAAATGATTAGATCAATATATAGGGAATATATGAAATGATTAGATCAATATAGGGAATGTATGAAATGATTAGATCAATATAGGAATGTATGAAATGATTAGATCAATATATGAATGTATGAAATGATTAGATCAATATAGGGAATGTATGAAATGATTAGACCAATTAGGGAATGTATGAAATGATTAATATAGGGAATGTATGAAATGATTAGATCAATATAGAATATAAAATGATTAGATCAATATAGGGAATGTATGAAATGAGGGGAATGTATGAAATGATTAGATCAATATAGATGAAATGATTAGAGCAATATAGGGAATGATATGAAATGAATTAAATGATTAGACCAATATAGGGAATGTATGAAATGATTAGAATCCAATATAGGGAATGTATGAAATGATTAGACCAATATAGGGAATGTATGAAATGATTAGAGACAATATAGGGAATGTATGAAATGATTAGATCAATATAGGGAATATATGAAATGATACGATCAATATAGGGAATGTATGAAATGATATAGGGAATGATCAATATAGATCAATATAGAATGTATGAAATGATTAGATCAATATAGGGAATGTATGAAATGATTAGATCAATATAGGGATGGGAATGTATGAAATGATTAGATCAATATAGGGAATGTATGAAATATATTAGAGATCAATATAGGGAATGTATGAAATGATTAGATGGAATATATGAAATATGATATGAAATGATTAGACTGCAATATAGGGAATGGAATGTATGAAATGATTAGAAATATAGGGATTGTATGAAAGTGATACGATCAATATAGGGAATGTATGAAATGATTAGATCAATATAATGAATGTATGAAATGATTAGATCAATATAGGGAATGTATGAAATATATGAAATGATTAGATCAATATACAATATAGGGAATGTATGAAATGATACGAATCAATATAGGGTATGAATGTATCAATATACTGAAATGAAATTAGATCAATATACTGGAATATTATCAATATAGAAATGAAATGATACGATCAATATAGGGAATATATGAAATGATACGATCAATATAGGAAATGTATGAAATGATTACGATCAATATAGGGAATGTATGAAATGATACGATCAATATATGAGGAAATGATTAGATCAATATACTGAATATATGAAATGATACGATCAATATAGGGAATATATGAAATGATTAGACCACTATAGGGAATGTATGAAACAAATCATCCCTGAACTCTGTAGCTGCTTCTACTGTGGAATAAATAATCCTCACTAATCAGAATAGAGTCAGCACAGTTTGGAGCACCTATTGTTTGCTTACATTAGATGTCCGCAGACTGCTAAAGTCACTCCTGCCATAGAAAAGAAAGAGGGAGGAGCTGAGATTGTAGGTTCGGTTCACACTGCCGCGACTTGGGATCCGACTTGTGAGTCCTCAAGTCGCATGACGCATGACATCCCATATTAGTCAATGAGAGCTGTATTAATGAGCACTACCGAAGTCGCTCCGACTTTAGAAAAGGTTCCTGTACTACCGTACTTCAAGGAGACTTCTATCCGACTTGTGCCCATAGACTTTAACGGAAGTCGCCTCCAAGTCAGATCCTCATCTATATTGATGTGATTTGTAGTGTGAACTGAGACTTAGCGCTTCTCTTTAAAGATACATTTCTCCACAGTGCCTATAACTACAGAGGCCAGTGAGGGCTTATTTTATTTATATATTTGTTTTAACGGCATGATCAGAATATTTAAATACCTTAAAGTGAAGCTCCACTCAAAAGGGAAAGTTCTGCTTTAAGGACTGGTCCTTGCTCCCTGTGAGGAATTGGCACCTTTGGGGAAAGGGGGGGAGAGTGGGTACATAATTTTGACAGGTACCTGCTTTTACTTTCACTCCTCCCCACCTGCAGTCTGCTGGGACACGTGACAGGTCCCAGAAGATTTGCGGGACCATTCACAACGTGCAGAGGTGCTCGCGCATGCGCAGTGGGCTCCTGACCGTGAAGCCGCAAGCTTATGATGCCGGCACGGGGACAGAGGACGGCCGGTGAACCTGGCTGTGGTGAGCTCACCGCTGGATCGTGGGACAGGTGAGTGACTGTTTTATAAAATCAGCTACAGTTTTTGTACACCAATGTGTACATTGTACATTACCATGCCTTCCAGGGGTGGCCAACCTGCGGCTCTCCAGCTGCTGCAGGACTACAAGTTCCATCATGCCTCTGCAAGTCAGTAACTTCCCATCTTTGCAATGCCTCATGGGAAATGTAGTTCCACAACAGCTGGAGAGCCACAGGTTATCCACCCCTGCCTTTGGCTATACCATGTGACTCAAAGGCCACACCTAAAACACACTGCAGGTGCGTTTTTGCAGCGTTGCAATTGATTTCAATGGGGAGGTGTGTTTTTTAGTGTGCTTTTTTTTTTTCCACACCAAAACCTGCACCAAAAATGCAGCAAGCATGATTTTTAAAAATGCAGCTGACCTGCAGTGGATCACTGTGAAGAGTACCATAGGACTACATGGTTGCGCATTTTTTTTTTTTTTTTTTTTTTTTTTTTTTTTTTTCATGCAAAAGCAGATGAAAAACAGATCAGTGTGTAAGCAGCTTTAACCTCCTTGGCGGTATTAATTATCAGTGCCAAAAGTGGTAACCCCGAGCTGCACTTGGGATTACCCTGCAGCGTTGCTCCGGGATCCCTCGATCATTTGCCTTGTCCTGCGCTCCCACGATGTCCCCCCTGCAGTGTCCCCGGCAATGTCCTCCGGCCAATGCCGCATCCGTCTTCCGGGTTCCGTTCCCTGCGACGTCGGGACGTACGGGGGATGGAACTGGCGGGAAATGTAAAAAATTTTAGAAGTGACATTCACTAAATACACTAAAATCACATAGTATAACATTCCTGTATCCAACCATTTCACATACATTTTGTCCCGAGTGCTTTGTCCGGCGCCCTGCCTGCATTTTTACTGTTCTTTCTGCCTGGAAACTGAGAAACGTCCATGGCGTCCAAAAAGCGTCCCTTTAGGTCAAAAGCGGTTTTAGACCGGCTAGAGAACAGCGATAGTAAATCAGAACCACTTGCAGAATTGAGTGATAATGATTCGTGGGGGAAATTCCTCATCAGACACTGAAAACGATTCTGCGACTTTGCTCAGCGATGTGCGAACTTGGCGCTATATTTCACATTTCAGTGTTTTTGGTTTGATTATATTATGGAATTAAATTTATTATTATTATATTATTATTTTTTTATGATTATTTATTATATTATAATTTATGATTTCATGTTTCAAGTTTTATCCATCCCCGGGATGTTTACTAGACTCTTGTTCCGGACAGATTTCAGTGAGTTATTCCTAAAAATTACAGCCTACAATAAAAAAAAAAAACGACATATTTCCATGCAAAAAAATGTACCGCTTTGAGCACAGAAATACTGACATAATCAGACCGCTGGGGAGGTTAATGGGCTAAGTTCATATCTATGTGTGTTGGGAACGTGCGCAAAATCGTGCGCTTTCACAACATGCACAGGAACTCGCTGCTATTTAGCAGACTCATGGTGGTGCCATTGAAGCGTGGTTCATACCTACAGGTGGGACAAAGCGCGGGGGGGGGGGTTTCTGTGTGGTTTTTTATGCATGTTGCATGTTGGGCAGCTCATTTATTTCAACTGGCTGTGGCAAAACGTGGAAAAGAAGTCACTGACTTTTTTTCCAAGACGTGCTGCACCGATCCGCATGGCGCTTCAGCACTATGCAGTTTGGCATGCATGTTTGTGGATCCGTGGGGGTACCATTAATCAACCAATGGTCTGCTAAAGGTGTTGTGTGTGTTGCAAAAGTATGTGATTTTTCCCATGTTTTCGAAACGCATAAATGTGAACACCTCCCACCCGGGGAGGACTGACAACTCATGGGGCCCCCGGGCAATAGGGGATCATGGGGCCCCTGTGTCCTTGCCCACACTCAAAGCACACCCAAAAAAGCCTATAAAAAGATACCAGGGGCATTTCATGGGGCCCCCTACTGACCCTGCAAGTGTATGATCCAAACGCACATGTTCCTGCGTTACACATGGCTGTGTGTATAAGTGTGTGCTGCAGCGACCGTCGGCTGGAACCGAACAAAATCAGCAAGGAAAAAATGTCACCAGCACACCGAGGATCACCAATAGGGGTCCAAAGGTTTTATTAAACCATCGCATAGTTACAGCAAGGCACATGCCTGATGAAGGGGTCCTGCGAGACTCCGAAACGTTGCCTTGCTGTAACTATGTGATGGTTTATTAACCACTTCCTGTCCGGACACTTTTACCCCCTTCCTGTCCAGGGCAATTTTCAGCTTTCAGCGCTATCACACTTTGAATGACAATTGCGCGGTCATGCAATACTGTACCCATATGAATTTTTTACCATTTTTTTGAGACAGATAAAGCTTTATTTTGGTGGTATTTATTCACCGCTGGGATTTTTATTTTTTTTTACTATGTAAATGAAAAAGTCCAAAAATTTTGAAAAAAAGTGTTTTTAAATAAAATTTTGCAAATAAATAATATTTCATCCTAAATCTTGACCAAAATTTATTCCGTTATTTTTTTAGTAAAAAAAAAAAAATCCAAATTAGTTTATAACCAAACATTATAATTTTTAAACATTTTTTTTTTACATTTTTATTTTATTTTTTTTTATATTATTTTTTATTTTTATTTTTTATTTTTACATACTGTCACCCTAGCAGTACAGTGTCACCATGGTGACATTGTACTACTTGTGGGGGGATGATGAAGATTTTTTTTTTTTTTTTTTACACTGATTGCTTTTACACCCATATAGGATGTAAAAGCAATCATTTCTCTTTCTCTCTGTCTGCATTCTTGCAGTCATTGAGAAATTCTGAGTGAGCTGTGATTGGTCACAGCTTGTCACATGGTACAAGGCTGTTGTGAATAGCCTTGTACCATGTGACCTCTGTGATCATTCACAGATTTCACACGTAGTAAGCAATGATGTCACAAGTGACATCTTGCTTACTACTTTGCATGTGATCACTGATTGGCCAATCAGTGATCACATGACCGGGACCTCGTACAGAGGTCCCGTCCGACGATCGGTGTTTCACTGTGTCCGGAGGACACAGCGGACACCGGATCGCGGTGGTGCGCGCTCCTAGGGAGCGCGCACAGCTAGAAAAGGCAGGTGCCGTTTAGGAACGGCAACCCGACCTTGGACTGCCACCGCCCTGCCGTTTATAAACAGCAGGCGGACGGCAAGAGGTTAAAACCTTTGGACCCATATTGGTGATCCTCGGTGTGCTGGTGACAATTTTTTCCCTACTGACCCTGGGCCCTCGGGCAGTGCCCGAGTACTCTAATGGTCAGTCCGCCCCTGCCTCCCATGCTTCTACAAATGCGCTACTGCAGCTCGGCGCGTTTCAGAAGGAGTCAGGGGCTTCTTTTCTGCATTTCTCGCATGTAGCACAGCCCATTGAAATGAATGGGCTGCCCTGAACAAAACTTGCACCACCGCGCCCACACTTGGTTGCACCCGTTGCTTATGGAGTGATTTCAATTTTTTCCTGCGATCGTTCTCTTGCACCAGAACGAACTGACCGCCAACAAGAGGTTAAGTTGCTCAGCAGCATGCGATTAATCTCGCCCACGTGGCTTATCCCTTTATGCAGGTTTTGTCCATGTTTTGGTGTCACGTGTTGCAAATCTTAGAGGTGACGGCGTTCTGTAGCTGACACAAACAGAGGTGACTTATGGCCGAGTCAGATGATAGAAAACAATGCTGGGAGTCACGTGACTTCATTCTCCGAGCGGGGTCACCTCTGCAGGGAGACAAACACAGGACTCTGCCCCCTGCAGAGAGCAGGATGGAGCCGGATGTGGGGAGGCCAACAGGTGAAAGTAGGTGGAGGTGATCCGTCATTTCACATGTCCTCCGCTTCTGGCTGTCGTTGCACTTTTCAGGCCAAGTGGAAAGTTTTGCAAACATCCTAAGTGATCATCTGAAAATGCAAGTCGCCTGGTTCCTTGTGGTCATTATTTTCTGGCTCACTGACATGTTACAAGCATGCATTTTTTGAAGTTGTAGGGCGGTTGCACGAAAAAAGAAATAAAAACATGCCAATTGTTTGATACACAGAGGTTTATCATCCAGTTAGGGCAGGGGGGTGTCAAACTCCATTTCATCGCGGGCCCGGATCAGCACTATGGGTGGCTTCAAAGGGCCGGTTGTATCTGTAAGACTAGATGTCCAGAGCACCCCACCACCCCCCCCCATTACATCAGATGTCAAGAATCCCACACCCTCCCTAACATCACCGTGCACCCCCTTTGAGGGGGCATAGCTGGAAAGCAGAAAGTGCAGGGTCTGGAGGAGGACCAGAGGAGGAGTGGAGTCAGTTATCAGAGTCTGCTGAATGCTGAGACCAGAGGAGGCAGAGATGAGGAGGTGCTGCAGCTGCACTGAGAGGTGCAGGATTATGCAGAGGAGTTCTAGTCTCCTCTCTGCTGCCGACTGCTGAGACAAGGTGGGGTGGAGACAAGGGTACCTGCAGGAGAGGTGCAAGGGCCACATGGAATGGCCTGGAGGGCCGGATTTGGCCCGCGGGCCTTGTGTTTGACACCTGTGAGTCGGGGTTTACTTCTACTCTAAATCAGCTACATATAATACATTCTAATACCATAATACAATCAGCTATATAATGAATACATTCCAGATGCATCAATATAAAATGTATAACGTTTTACAGTGTGTCTTGTTCAGAGGGCAGCCACAGCCTAAGTAGAAAAGCCTGTCCACTGCCAGCATGCTGCAGAAAAGGACCCTTGCTCTCTGTTTGGAAACAGCGGTCTCTCTGCAGAGGTTTGCTGATTGGAGATTAGGGATGAGCTAAGCAACTTATTCACTCCCTGGTTATCTCTCGCCTTGACTATTGTAACTCCCTCCTCATTGGCCGACCTCATCGCAGGCTATCCCCTCTTCAGTCTATCATGAATGCTGCTGCCAGACTCATCCACCTTACTAACCGTTCTGTATCTGCCACCCCTCTCTGCCATCCCTCCATTGGCCTCCACTCAGTGTCCTCCACCCCTCTCTGCCAATCCCTCCACTGGCCTCCACTCAGTGTTCTCCATCCTTCTCTGCCAATCCCTCCACTGGCCTCCACTCAGTGTCCTGCACCCCCACTCTGCCAATCCCTCCATTGGCCTCCACTCAGTGTCCTCCACCCCTCTCTGCCAATCCCTCCACTGGCCTCCACTCAGTGTCCTGCACCCCTCTCTGCCAATCCCTCCACTGGCCTCCACTCAGTGTCCTCCATCCCTTTCTGCCAATCCCTCCACTTGCCTCCATTTAGTGTCCTCCACCCCTCTCTGACAATCCCTCCACTGGCCTCCACCCCTCTCTGCCAATCCCTGCACTGGCCTCCACTCATTGTCCTCCACCCCTCTCTGCCAATCCCTCCACTGGCTTCCCGTTGCCCAACGAATAAAATTCAAAACACTAACAATAACATATAAAGCCATTTATAACTCTGCCGCAAATTACATCACCAATCTTGTCTCCAAATATCACCCAACCCATCCTCTCCGCTCCTCGCACGACCTCCTGCTCTCTAGCTCCCTTGTCTCCTCCTCCCATGCTCATCTCCAGGACTTCTCCAGAGCTTCCCACATCCTCTGGAACTCTCTACCCCAATTTATCAGACTATCGCCTACTCTGCTCACTTTTAGGCGATCTCTGAAAACCTATCTCTTCAGGGAAGCCTATCCTGCCCTCAGCTAATATTGGAATCTTCTATTCCTCCTACCAGTCCATCCCCCCAGTTACCTTTTGTACCAGCAGCCCCTCCCTCTTAGATTGTAAGCTCCCAGGATCAGGGCCCTCCTATCCCTCTTGTATTGAACTGTATTGTTGCTGTATTGTCTCCCGTTATATTGTAAAGTGCTGAGCAAACTGTTGGCCCTATATAAATCCTGTATAATAATAATAATATATAAATCCTGTATAATAATAATATATAAATCCTGTATAATAATAATAATGAGCTCAGGTGTGTTTAGATCTGACTCTAAGGGCCGGTTCACACTCCATGCATTTTCAGTTCCTTTTTTTCTGCATCCAAAACGCACAGAAAGTAGGTGATATGGTAGTCAATGTCATCGTTCACATCAGTGCTTGCAGTTCCAGTGCTTTCCGATTGCAGAAAAAAAAGTAGAACAGGCTGCATTTTTGCTGCACTTTTGCTGCACAGAACTGTTCTGGAACGCGGTAAAACGCATCAGGACGCACTGGAATGCACCAAAACTCACCAAAAACACACCTGTCCCTATTTGAATTGAAGAAAAAGAGAGGGGGAAAAAATGAACCGGAACTCATCAAAAACGCACCAGATTGCGCCAAAAACGCGCATGCGGAAATGCATCCAATACACATCTGGACTGCATTTCTATGGTGTGATCGGCCATAATACTTCCTCCTGACTGATGACATCATCTCCGCCTAGGCAGAGTCACTGGGCTGCAGCTTTTTTTTTAAAAAAAAGACAAAAAGGTGGAGTTTTTATAAAAAACGATCCTGTTGCTGTTTATCGGACGTGTCAGGAAAGTATTCTCGCAGCTTTCTAAAGTGATAGGTCCATTTTATAGACTCCACTCCGGCTGCTCAGGAATTTCCTGTACTTCAGTATACAGTATATACAAACACTTGCAGGCATGCCTTACTAATATGTGGAACGGAGATATTACACGGAGGAAATGTTCTACAATCCGTAGGTCTGGCTGTTGGCTTTTAGTGAGAACTGGGCGATTGTCTGATGTGTGCCCAAATCCACGGAGGAAGGGACGCAGGGAGAAAAGGGGTGAGCAGAGAGCGACAGGGTGCAGATTGGGGGTTGTAAATCTGCAGGAGGAGTGCGGAGATGGAGGAATGTGATGGGGAAAGGGAAAAAGCTGGCAGGCGGGAATATATTCTCCAGCTTTGTTTATAAATCCCGTTCAGCACTTCCAAACAAGGCCTGGAAGGAGCCGAGCCGTGTGTGTGCGCTCTGCATCGCCCTTTATGGCGTGTTCAACCGCGCTCAGCATGTAACCCTTCCCCTGCTGGACTCGGCTTCCTGTGTCGTATCGTGTGGCCGGATTATTTCATACGTCTTTAGGGAGTGAAATCACTGAGAATGCAGCCTATCCATTCACTAGAGAGCGGTGACATCACTGAGAATGCAGCCTATCCATTCACTAGAGAGCGGTGACATCACTGAGAATGCAGCCTATCCATTCACTAGAGAGCGTGACATCACTGAGAATGCAGCCTATCCATTCACTAGAGAGCAGTGACATCACTGAGAATGCAGCCTATCCATTTCATAGAGACCAATGACATCACTGAGAATGCAGCCTATCCATTCACTAGAGAGCAGTGACATCACTGAGAATGCAGCCTATCCATTTCATAGAGACCAATGACATCACTGAGAATGCAGCCTATCCATTGCATAGAGACCAATGACATCACTGAGAATGCAGCCTATCCATTCACAGAGAGCGGTGACATCACCGAGAATGCAGCCTATCCATTACATAGAGACCAATGACATCACTGAGAATGCAGCCTATCCATTCATGGAGAGTGGTGACATCACTGAGAATGCAGCCTATCCATTCACAGAGAGCGGTGACATCCGTGAAAATGCAGCCTATCCATTCACAGAGAGCGGGGACATCAGCAAAAATGCAGCCTATCCATTCACAGAGAGACGGTGACATCAGTGAAAATGCAGCCTATCTATTCACAGAGAGCGGTGACATCAGCAAGAATGCAGCCTATCCATTCCATAGAGACAATGACATCACTGAGAATGCAGCCTATCCATTCACTAGAGATCAATGACATCACTGAGAATGCAGCCTATCCATTCCATAGAGATCAATGACGTCACTGAGAATGCAGCCTATCCATTCACTAGAGATCAATGACATCACTGAGAATGCAGCCTATCCATTCCATAGAGACCGGTGACATCACTGAGAATGCAGCCTATCCATTCACTAGAGATCAATGACATCACTGAGAATGCAGCCTATCCATTCCATAGAGATCAATGACGTCACTGAGAATGCAGCCTATCCATTCACTAGAGACCAGTGACATCACCGGAATGCAGCCTATCCATTCACCAGAGAGCGGTGACATCACTGAGAATGCAGCCTATCCATTCACTACAGACCAGTGACATCATTGAGAATGCAGCCTATCCATTCACGGAGAGCGGTGACATCAGCGAGAATGCAGCCTATCCATTCACCATTGACCAGTGAAGGTGCCTGTCCATTTAGTAAAGACCAATAACATTGACAAAGTTGCAAACTTGACATGCTAAAACTTCCACAAGGCAAAGTGAAGCATTGCAACCATGGCAATATGAACAGTCCTGAGTGGCTGCCATGGCAGCTTTGTAAGAGGTCAGGGGATGGTAAAAACACGGTTCAGCTGCTCCTTTTTACCACACTCCGGCCACCTGTGTGAACTTAGAATCTCTCACTTCCTGTTGCACCTCCAGGACAGGAAGTAAAGGAAAGTCTCTCCTCCAACACACAGGGCAAAAAAAAAAGTGTTTTAGCCACTCCCCCCTTCATCCAAAATTAGAAACATTTTTGCTTTAAATAGATTCTTTCAGAGGGATGTGATTGGCTGCCGGTGACGCAGTATATTCTGCGCAGCGTAGCCTGTTTTTTCTGCGTCTCGCCCGTGGGCAGTGCTGCGATTTGGTGAATGCCTTCTTTATTGCAGACGTTGCTCCAGTAACAATCTTCTGGTCGGATTATATTTGGCTCTCTACCTTTTTAAAGCTGCATTCCAGCCGGCTCTAATTGGCTTCTCGCTGTACGTTTTTTCGCCCGCTCCACCCAACTGCAGCGTATCAAGCTGCGGCCAGTGAAAGGGCCATTGTGTCTTCTGGGGTGTCTAAATTTAGCTCGGGCCTGAACGCGGAGAGCGAGCCAGACGTATATACGGTGCGTGACCTCAGCGCCGATCGGCGCGGCGGCTGATTAAATGCGGTCAGGGATGTAAACATTCGCTGGAATGCCAGTGACACTTTTGCTTTAAATCTGCTTTCCTGCTCAGGCTGAATCCTCCGCGTTCCTTTCCTCTCCTTGGCCCGTTTTTCCGGACCGAGAGTCCCCGCGGGGCGGAGAGGAAGTTCGTATTGTCACAGTCTAAATGGACTTTTCCTCCCCAGTGAAAGGTCGGAAAGTGGAGTGGATGGCCGCAGCGCACCTGACGGCCCTGATAAACGCCATTGGCTTGCTGCGGGGCAAGATGGTGACCTCACCCCTTAACCCTTCGTACCGCCCTGCTGGTCTGCTTATCTTTTGCTCTGGCACGGTTCACACCTATGCAGTTTGCGTTTGAACCGTTTCTGCGTTGCGTTTTTTGCGTTGCGTTTTGACGCATTTTGCTTTTTTTTTTTTTTCTAGTTGCTAGTCAGATTTAAAACGCAGCAAAAATGCACTACATGCAGGGTTTCCTTTGAAGTTTATACAACCAAAAACGCAATTTTTTGCATTAAAAAAAGTCCCTGACCCTTTCCAAAAAACGCACCAGATGAAAACGCAGAGATGTGAACGTGTCCCATAGGAAATCATGTTAAATGGATTGTACTGCGTTTCTGCAAAATGCTGCGGAAAACGTTTTGGGTGTGAACCTGGGGTGACTGAGCCTGTCCAGTTTATGCGACACTAGAAGTTCCTGATTTTTTTTTTTTTTTTTGGGACCCTCTACGATCCCAGTCTGAAACCAGTTCTTTACTTCTTTTGTGGAACTGCAAATCCCAACCGAACAGTTCCTCTGTGTCTCTTAAAGTGATTGCTCAGGCTTACCTATGCAATATTTGTTGGCCTCGCCTGCTTCCTCCTTTGTGACATTTTTTATAAAATAAAACCTTTCTGTTTTCATTTTATATCTTATTTTGGATCCAGTGGTGTCATCACTGGGTCTCTATGCTTCTCTATGCAATGTAGACAGATCATGGCTGGTGGGGGGACATTAAAAAAAAATCCTGTAGCTGCTGACTAAGGCTGGCCATACATTATACAATTTTCTTGAGATTTTTGGTTTAGATTTACCAAAAACCATATAATAGCAGGTCAAACCTTACAAAACTTTCAATTGTATCCAGTTAGGCGGGCCCTTGCACTACACACAGTCACATTCATTTGATGCGATTTCAGGTGCCATTTCAATTCCCAAATCGCACCAGTTTGACCGGGCACTAATTGTAAAGCACTGTTGGCTCTATACAAATCCTGTATAATAATAAACATAATAATAA